TTTAGGTCCAAAAAAATTGCCATTGAATGGTTCATGGTTCTCTTACGCATGATACACAACGTAATAGACGAAGTACTCTTTGTTTTGAAAAATTCATTGCTGTATTCCTTTTATGTCTTTTTGCAATAGTGTTACTTCCAGATTCGGCAAATCATGTTAACGAAATTCAAATCATATCGATATACCAACCTTGGAGGCTTAACGTTGAATTAGCAAGCCATTCAACACTGATTTAATGGATTTACTATAAAAACGGGAAACGGGCACGGGGAGCGGGGAACCTGGGGAACGAAACAGAGAATTGGAATGAAGTTACTAAAAGGTCTACAGTGTTACCATTTTTCATTTTCCCGTTCCCCGTGCTCTTTCCCCGCACCCCGTACCCCGTACCCCGTTCCCCGTTCCCCGTACCTTTTTCCCTGCCTGTTCCCTACTGCCTTCAGTGAATTTTCCATACAATCATTATATACTAATCAGTTTTTAGTATGCTCGTAGTCAATGAATGAGGTCAATTTCTTCGTAAATCGGCGTTTCAGGTTTTGATCGACTCAGTTCCATCCGATCAAGCCATCAAATCCTGTTTTTGTTTAATCACTCACCGCCAAAGGATCGTAGTCCTGAACAACAAATCGAAAGGTCACCGGCCCAGATCGATATCTAATTATTTCTGCTCTTGCCATGAAGTGTTCCCCATTATTAAACCAGTAGAGTGTCTTGGCTTTACCAGAATTCATCTTGTCGTAAGTGTCTTGGCCACGGGTGAACTCGCTGCCAGTTTTGTCTTGGATGTTGATTTTCATTAAACTTGATAAAGCAAACTCGATGACTCTAACATTCGTCGCAGGCGGTTGTTCTTCGGAGCTTAGGATTCCGTTCTGGTAGAGAATAATGTACCCACCGGTTGAAAATTGCGAGGATGAGAGCTGTGAGGTTTCCAGCCAACAACTTGATCGAGATTGGACGTTGTGGGTGAAAGTGACGGAACGTAATCTTCTCCGTCCAACTTTACCCGAAACAATCTTCATGGGAAAATCTGTTTCGTTAATGAAGTCAATAAATATGACACCTACCAGCACTCTTGTTAAGGCCACAACAGTTTTGTTGCCCTGAGGAAATAAAGAATTCTGGGGAGAGTGAGTGTCATGGCCTTCCAGTTTTAACTTAACGCACTGACTGGACACTTTACTTGCTTCAGATTCAACTGTCGCAGAATCAGGTAATTGCGGTAAATATAAGCTATGTCTGACTGCTTCTACGAGCCTCTTTCCTGATGTGTTTCGGCTTAAAACAACGATTTTCGTCAGTTTTCCTCCTTCATAGGGAAGGCTTCCAAGAAAGGTCAGATATTTTTCGTCAGACAGGAATGCAAGCTTTTCTCTCGCTTTCTCTTCTTGGCGTTTAATAATACGATAGACCGCATCTTCGTCTTCTTTTCTCCCAAGATCTGCAAATCGTCCGTTCGCAGCCAACAAAAGTGCCATGAAACAGACGTACGCCTCGCTGTAAGTCACCACAGCTGTCACAAAATCTGCTACGTCAGGATCTTCTGTGAGGGGGGATCCTTTTTCGTATTTGAATGGCAAAGGTGACTCTAGTCTGTAGGAAAGCTCACCCATAAATTGAACGTAGTCATTCCACAAGTTGGTGTCGTCTAGTTTTTCCGCTGACTTCAATGTACGTAGCTGAGATGTCTGGTTGCATACGCGATCCTTCAAACCTTGGAATCTTTGATCATGCAACTTATGATTGAAGTTGACTAGTTCCTTGTGAACGACTTTTGCGAGTTGATCTACCACACTTGGCTGTGCATGTTTTGGCTTGCCATAACTGAGAATCGTACCAATAATACCACAGACTGTAGTAATTATCGGCCCGTAAGGTCCACCAAAGACGGACCCAATTGAAGAGACGATGTTTAAAACTCCCACAGCGGTATCCACGGGATCGTCACTTTTGAATTTCTCGATACTATTCACCGTCACTTGGACAACTTTAAGAACTTTACCCACTGTTTCAGGGGTTAGTTCCTTCGTTTTTTCCTCGCTCTTGTTGTTTTGTTTTGTAACCCAAGTTTCTATTTCTCTTAGCTTTCTTTCGATATCTATTTTTAGATTAGCATTTGAGTCCACAAAATCTGACACACACCTACGCAATGAGTCCAGACATTCTTTGATATCGGGGCATGGAAGAGATGGACTTTGACAATGACTGTGGTAACGTGCAGCCATTATTTAGGCCTAGAAGTGAGAAAGGAGAAAGACAAGTGATTTTTCACTATGTAATGGTGTTGTCTGAAGCAATCACCTTAAAATACAATGAATGATATTATTTATTGTGGCATGTGAAGGTTAACGTTCGATTATCGTTTCTTTCACGGTCAGTATGCTATTGATCACGACGTTTCGACAACGCCAAGAATTATTCATACGAATATATTAAAATGAAAAAAATCCCAAATCTAGGTAAATCGTCAGAAGTAATTATATAACGGAGAGGAAAGGAACTGAAAATTCATTACCGTTACAGTGAGGGGGGCATTGGGGGACCGTCCACACCGCAACATGCCATAGAAAAAAAAAACAAAAACCGCATCACAAAAAAAGTGGCTAAACACCGACATCGCAATTTTAATTTTGGTCCTACGATTAATCTAACCCAAATCTCCATATAATTGGGGATGGTTATCTCGGAGCTGGTTAGTGATAAGTAGAGAGTGAGTTTTTCCTATTTTTGCGAACTCTATTTTTCGTCTTGCAGATAGAAAAATGCATACAACGCCCATGACAGTCGTGAAAAAAACAAACCCATGCAGATTTCGCCTGTTATCCATTTGTTTTGAAGCCTTTTTTGTATAAAAAGACCACACAGATCAGGCTTCGCTCCTGCCATAAAAAAGCAGTGAGATATTAAAATCAATTTTACCCGACGTTCCTAGGAGGGCGGAACTTGTTTTGGCTTGTTTTATTGAGTCGTTGTGGATCTTTTGTTTATTAGTTTTGATCACTCGTTGTTTATCCCTTTGGGTCGTTGTGGATCGTTTAGGTCGTTTGGCTTGTTTTGCCTGGTTCCTCGTTTCAGTAACTACGGCCAAATGATAAACCACAACATCGCAAAGTGTTCGACAAGTTATTTCGTTTCACCGTAGGTTTAAAACCAGAAACACCGCACACCGCACGGTTTAACACCGCAACACCGCAAGATGGGATTTTATTCACCGCAACACCGCATTTAATCCCCGTGCCCCCCTCCTGAGTGAGAAAGCCGGAACTAAGAGAGAGCAAGTAAAAGACGTAAGTTGTTTATCAGATATCCGTTACTCAGTGTATTCAAGTGTATTGACATCAGCTCTCAATGCGAGCAACATAAGCATTTGGGGCAGCGCAAAAGTGCATCTAAACTATCTTCTTAAAATGAAAGCGTAATTTAATATAGTTTGGGTTAAAATGCACTACACAGCTCTGTTTCGCATAGAAGCCAATTTAACCCTGGACCTCTTCAGGCAGAGCAATTTTTTGGTTATAATTTAAGCAGGTCACAAACAGTTGAGTTTTACGCTATAATTGTGATAAATCATGGATAAAATACAATCGGGAAACGAAGCTGAAAAATCAGAGTCCTTTTATGCATGTAAACACGTATGTAAAAGTAGGCATTCTAATCTATTCTGCTTGGGAAAGCGGATTCAGCTGAATTTGTTCCCACTTTATAGAAGATCGGATGACGACTAGCACTTCAACTCGCATTCATTTGTTCTGCGCGCAATTTAACACTTTTCTCACTACTGTGACAAGTAAACTTCATTGCAGTTCTGCACGACATTACTTACCCTTGTGTTGGCTATTTATGGCCACAATCTCAAGTCCGAAACTTTCGAATCGACAAGGAAAAATGACACCGATTGTGCGCGGGATGAATCTTCAGCGTGATGTGCATGTGACTTGCGATCCAGTGCTGATCAAGTGTTCCAGGAAAACACCTCGAAAAAACACCCTTCTAAGCTACGCCCAATTAAGCAAATCACGCAAGGGAAAGAAAAACAGTACTGTATTCGTGTCTAAACTGGGCGTTGATCATGGGAGTAGCCCCTCAGGGAAAATCCTGAGTGGAGAGGGGTCTGTTCACAGGCTATCATGGCAGCTACGAAAGATAAAACCACCTTCATCGGAAAACTTTGCTTTTGTTGTTTCTTTGATTTTTCTGTTCAAGCCAAAGCGATCATACGGGAACACTGATTCATGACTAATCAGATTGAAAGCGAAACATAATTGCTTCTTTTCACCTTCAGTGACCCTCTTTGACCTTTTCGGGGTAATCCTCTTTTAAATATTGGTCAAAATTTCTCAGAACTTTAGGAAGTCGTTTGATGTCTAATATATATTCATACAACCGACAGGGCTTTGGTCTTGCACAAGAACTAGGAGACTTCACAGTCCCCTATTTTTTCGTATGATGGTCGTCAGTATCGAGCGCTACCATATATAGTACCGGCGGCCATTTTGGTTTCATATGTACCGTGAGGTTAGGCATCATCCCGAAGATGGCTTCCAGTAATGCAAAGGGCTCCATCTCGAAGATCTTACGGAAAAATAGAAATGTGGGGTTTCGTCAAGTAAACTTTAACTCCACCCTTCAAAGTACCATTCCTTTAGACTGACAGGAGTAAGTGGGGGGAACTTCCCTGTATTCAGCCGAGTATTCACCAAGGAAAAAATTACGCTTGTTTATGTATGCACGCTTTAAGGTAGCGTTCACTTTCCTAGGCTCTCCCAGATTGAGAACTTGAGATCAGGCGGCCTACATCGTGCGAAGAAGTCGTAAACAAGGTTGCAGATTAAAGCTTATAGTTCGCGAGCTTCTGTGAGTCACGTAATTCCAGTAAAGAAAAATAAAGAAAACGACTTTCCGATGGAATTTTCTGCAACTTCTAAAAGTCGATAGATCGATAGATCGGAAGGATTCTATCGTATCATGAGTATCTTTGAAGCGGCTTTCGGCGCGACATCGCCGCCATTTCTCTCGGCCTTAGTCCTTTTGCGGTCTAAGCAATGTTTTGGTTTCGGCGTAAGCCAATCAGATGACAGGAAATCATATATCCAGTTCTGGATATATGATATATGGCCTGGACTGTTCACCGGAAACTTTGCGAGGCACTGACGGGCTAGAACCAGAATAGTCAGAAAAGGCTGTTGCACCTGACCTGCGAGCAAGCTCTCCCGAAGCGCTCTGGTGCCCCCGCAGCCCCGGGAACCCCAGGAGAGCTTGCTCGCAGGCCATCTTGCACCCAGTGCAGGGATCCTTGACGTTGTATCTTGAACATTCGCTTCCGTGCCGCAATGTGCATTTCGTCTTTAATACCCTAACCAGCAGCCGGCACTGCTATTCGTGGTGCCTGTCTTGTTCAGTTTTCAGCTGAGTTTTTAGGTTATGTTTCGATATGTTATGGGCACATTAGGGTTTATAGGTTTATTTTAAAAGATGTTTTGTTTTATTTGTTTTACGTCAACAGAGTGTGGGGTATAAATTATTTTACTCCGGAGATTAGCCTTATCATAACAGGACAACTTTTCAAAGGTAAGGTAAGGTGATCTTTATTCATGCACGGTGTTACAAATTAATCAGGCATGTAATATTATAAAAAATTTAAAAAACCTTAATTACATTTACTGGGTTCCGCTAAATACAGTATTAAAAATATTCAATTAAGTATATACGAAAAAAAAAGAGCCTGTTTTCCATGAATGCCGTGCCTTACTTGATATTGTAATTACTGTGCAAAAGTGACTTAAAATTACTTAGGGGTTCTGCTTGCCTTAATGTTTGAGGAAGACTATTCCACAGAACAGCACCACTGTTATCTATCGTTTTCCAGATCATAGTGTTTTTACAATCTCAACATTCATATCTATTTGCTAATGAGGTTCATTGATATTCAGCTAAAGAAAATTTGTGTCAATTTTTATGCGCTTAAACGTTTTGGTAAATAACGGCTCCGCGTCTTACAGGCGTTTATATAACGTAACATCGAAATACTTGAACTATCTCATCGACACTCAGTTTTTCGGTGTGTGGAAACACAACCTTCCTTCTCGACTCAACTGATGTCAAAATGAAGTATTAATAGACTTTTCTGGAAAAGTCTTTTCAGGTATACTAACAACTCGGACTGGGGGATAATGGTCGGAAAATGAAAATGAAACCCCTAAGGGAGACCAATGTGGGTGTGGCTCAGGCTTAAACTGACCCCTAAAGGAAGCCATACTAACACAGACATCACAGCATTTTTTGTAAATTTCTTTATAGGCAACCCTAACCGATGCCTGAATGGGAAAATATAGTGACTTTCTATCGCAAACGTCCTGGGAAAACGCCATACAGGGACAAGGAGAGGACTAGGCAAGAATATATAGGGGAAAGCGTTGGGACTAGGTTTAGACACTATGATTAGGACAAAATTTAGACTGGGAAATGGGCTTATGTATAATAATTGGAAAATTCTAGTTTGTACCATTATGCATATATACAGTGTTACATAGCCTGAGCATAAGGCCTTTCTATGAGAGGAAAGAAGAAAGAGTTTCTTCTTTTCGCCGTGAGCATTTAGCCGTTGTTTCTTCAACTTTGTCTTTTTTCACTGATCCATATTTTCTTGAGAGATCTGGTCTCTAAACTCATTGGTTTACAGTCGGGATTTTGCTGCTAATTTTTAAACTTTCGAAGTAGTTAGTATCCATCTTTTTCGCGGCTTGTCCACAGAATGAAATTTATAGGACAATACATGACCCAGTATCTGAAAGGGAAAGAAAAATACGCATTGTTGTAATTGCCAAATACAGTCTAACATGTTATAACGTACCTCTCTATTATCATGGTCTCCCCAATTTGGTGTTAGTAACTAGGAAACGCCCAGTGTAGGTATTGGGATATGTGAATTTCACCAAAGTCATTTTCAGGCCAATTAAACGCTAAAAGTATACCGGAAGTTGGTTTCCAGCGAGGACCGCAAACGTTTATTCAGTTTTGTCGACAGAGAATTTAACAGTCGTCATTACAATATTCTGCGTTGTTTGCTTTGAGGCAGTCGCGCGCCGGCGCGTGGACTTGATAACGTTTCAAGAAATCAATTAAAATGTGCGAACGTTTGAGGAATAGACTTCCGTTTAATTAAAAAATCTAAAAATAACTGTAGTGAAATTCACATATCACTCCCTAAGATGCCCTCTCTGTCCTTTTATTCTCTCTTGGGACTGGTGAAGGTAGTTAACGCCTTCAATGACTCAATTTTTGGCCTTCGGACCCTTTTTAACGGACAGTTCGTTTGCTGCCAAAATACACCAGACTTCATATAATTTTATTATAAGGACACCTTAATCATTCAGACCGTAAGTAAAGGAAGCCTGATCATACATTTTCCTCACGCCTCCCCTCGTGGAAGGTGATTTCACGTGTACTAGCGTTTTTCGCTACAACATACTATTCTTGATGAAATTAATAAGTAGGGCTTTTCACAAGCTGCCTCGGCAACTTTTTGGCAACTTCTCAAATTTCGAGCAACTTTTTGCATTCTGAGCAATTTCTCTTGTTATCTTCTAATTCTGAGAAATCGAAACGACTTTTAGTTTTTAAATTGGCCTTTCTTCCATATTTCACAATGTTTTAGTAGACAATTAATGAATTTCCTGTACAAAAAGGAGCCAAATCCTTCCCCCTGGGGCAGATCATGGGCGCAAAAAAAAAAGTAGTCGGGTTGCGAGGTCAGCGGTTTTTAGAGAAAATTCAAATGGTGGACGAAGGATTCACACTAGACTGAGTGAAACTTAGATGATCATTCAACAATTTTATTGGCTCATTACATTTTTTGGTTTTAATTGCGGACAAAGTTATTTAGCAACGCTGGTTACACCGCAAAATTGCACAAAGATGCTCAGAAAACTTACGTTTGTTGTACAATTTGCATATCATATGCATCAGACCAAAAAATTTTTTGTTTTTTCGAGCAACTTTTGAGCAACTCTCGTTACAAAAAGCAACTTTTGAGCAACTTTTTGAGAAATTACGGGAAACTTTTTGGAAAACCTCGAGCAACTTGAGGAAAGCCCTAGTAATAAGTGACTTCTTTTGGTCTAATAAAAAGTCACACAAAATACCTAACACCCTTCGGACTTTGCGTTAAGGAGAGGCTTGATTTAACTTAAGGTGGTACGTGATTCCAGAAAAGGTGATTTACCGACGGGATTTACGTTTTTGCAAGTTCTCGCGAAGAATAGTCTCCCACAAGGAGACGACGCGCGTTGGAAAGAGAACACATCTTTTGATTTCTTGTGGATTAATAATGGTAATTGAACTGAGTGGAGTACAATTTGGTCGAGCGCGCAAATCGGACGAGCTCGCAGCGCGAGTTTGATTTGAAATCACAAGTATGATTTCAGACCAAAATTGCATGACACGAAATTCAATTACCACTTTATTACAGCCATTTTGAAATCGCAGAATTCAGTCACTCTCAGTACCAATTAACTTTATTGATCAAGTAGCCGATTTGTTGAAAAGCGGAAACAAAACGGCTTTCACATCTCATTTTACGTTCGCACAGAAATGATGCGATGTAGAGCAAAATGGGGCGATTTAAAACAGAAATGATACGATTTAGAACAGATGTGATTTAAAGCAAAAAATAGCTGTGATTCGTGACTAAATCACACTTCTGAGAGCCAATCAGATTGCAGGGATCACCAGTGATTTCAAAATGGAAATAATAAAGATTGAAATAACAATAAACACAAACTTAGGTAATTTTACTTATTTATCGGATACAGACTTAACCTTTAGGCGCAGTAACAATATCCATGGAAGGGTCGAAATCTTGGAAAACATAGCGCCATCGGTGTATGGTGCGAGTAGGACGCACGCCGATTGGTTTTAATTGCATTTCTGCACTGGCCATGTGGTGTACTTCTTTTGTCTTCCAATAAAAGTTTTTCTGCCTTTCGCCATGAACCTTTTTGTAGGCATCCTCGCCTTTGGTGAACTCACCGCAAGTTTTGTTCTGGATATTTATTCCTGGTTTTCCAAAACTTGGTAAATAATACGCAAATTCGATTATACGAGTTTCATCTGCGCTATGGGGTTCATCGTCTGGACGAAGCTTCCCGTCTAAGTAAATAAGGACATACCCCCCAGCACAGGCGTGTGATATGTCTAAATCTGAGGATGATCGAGGCTGAAGAACTTGTGTGAACTTTTCTTCAACCCCTTCAGGATATGCACCGCCTATTACTTTCATTGAATACTGTGTTTCGTTGATAAATTGCATCACGCCTATGCGGCCATTGATCCGACTGAAATCGAAAATATTTGGATGGCCCTCTAGTTTTAATGTCACTGACTGGCGAGACACGATTTCTGCCTTTGATTCAACTGCTTCGTAATCCAGTATCTCAGGGAAACCAAACCCGCGTGTTGTCATCTTTACGATGCGCCTCGCTTCTGCGTTTCTACTGAAGGCGACCAACTTTGTCAGTTTTCCTTCTTCTGACGGAAGTCGTCCAAGAAATGTCAAGTACTTCTCACCGAACAGGAAAGATAATTTTTTTTCTAAATCTTGCTTTTGGCCGTCGATTTTCCGATCTGCTTTTTCGTCATTCTCTTTATGCTCGCTTCCAAGGTCTGCAAATGTTCCTTTGGCGATTAGAAGAAGCGCATTAAAACAACTGAAAGCTTTACAGTAGGTCATCAATGCTCTTACAAAATCTGCCACATTTGGATCATTTGTCAAATTATCGCTGTACTTATATGGTAGTGGTGACTGGATTCTGTTACCCAGTTCTCCCATAAACTGCACGTAGTCGTTCCACAGGTTAGGATCGTCCAGCTTTTCACCTGGTTTCATCTTCTGCAGCTGGGCGGTCTGGTCTGACACGCGACGTTTCAGGCCGTCACATTTCTGGTCTTGTAACTTGCTGTTAAATTCGACCAACTCTTTATGTACAACGTCGGCCACTTGTTCTATGATGCTTGGCTGCCTGGGTTGTCTCGAAGCAAGAATGGCACCAATGACGCTGCAAATTGTTCCCCCAACTGTCGCCCAAACAGGTCCGCCGGCCGCCTCACCGGCAAGCGCCACGACGCTTGAAATGATTTCCAAAGTACCACCCAGGACATCTCCACTTTCCATCTTCTCTAACCCGCTTATTGTTGCAGTAGCTACATTTCCCATACTCTCAATGATTTTTTTTCTTGCTTCTTCATCGGCTTCCTTTTTCTGCTCTTTAACCCAATTACTAATCGCGTCAATCTTTTGTCGATGTCAGATGTTGAGAGCGCTGAGTGGAATGAGTCTGAGAATTCATGCACGCTGGAGCGCAAGGATTCCAAGGGATCTTCGTCAGTAACAGAATGAAAGGACTCGTTCATTTTATCTAAATTGGAAAGATATTAAAAAGATAAGAAAAAGTTAATTCTTCTTGCTTCCAAACGGCTCATGTCCTAAACAACGCATTTCTTTGCATTTTTAAGTTTTGAGAAATCTGCTCAAAGTTTCCCTCTATAAGAGAAAATGTTGTTATCATCATCATCATCATCATCATCATCATCATCATCATCATCATTATTATTATTATTATTATCATTCGGCTTGTATGGACAGAGAATTTGAGCAGCTTTCTCGAAACTCCGTGTGAGCAATAAAGAAAACAACAGATAAATTCAGCGTACCTTTCATTGACGTTTTTACAAATTTTAGGATCGAAACTTTACCTAGCTAGCCTGCGTAGCATGACGGCTATGGTTGCGCGCGCTTAATAAGGCGGGCGAGGGCAGAGAAACCGTGAGGAGATTGGGGCAGGAGTAACTTTGCGTTCTAAACTTGACTGAGTAAATCTTTTTTTTGCCGCACTAAGTCTTACATTTATTTAGAGTTCATGAAACTGGTTTGTTTCATCCATATTGAGTACTTATTTCCTGTGGTTAATGCTTCTGTAGGTGTTGCTGATAGAATTTGTTGATCTAAGATGCAGTTCTAAAGTACTCATTTCTTTGACCACTCATAAAGCCTAAAGCTTTTTATTACGGCTAAATAAATATTTCGCTTATTTAGTTTTCTTCGACTAAAATGCCTGGATCTGGATAACTACAAACCAAGGAGCCTTGGTTTGTCAGTGGTTTGTAGTTTCTGTGTCGGTGAATGTTTTGACGCTGGGCCCGGCTTTTAAGTTTTTTTCTTCGCAGGAAGCTGAATTTTTACGGATGAAGGGCGATCTTCAGATTTGAGTTGTAGCTTAAACTTAAGCTACACCAAGTATGGAGAATTATGCTGTGCGTCTTTCTTCTACTATGTGCGATTCATCGACCACGATCGCGGACAGCGTTCGAAGTAGAGCGCTGGAGTGCGTTATTCTCTAACACCGAGTAATAGAGAAAATTGAGTTGGACTTTCTCGAAGCAAATTTACTGTTTCTGTCGGAAGCTCCGGCGGAAGCTCCATTGCTGTACAGCTATAGTACTTTTTAGAGGGGAAATTGCGATCGTACAGTTTTTCGATGAGGCATTTCTTCTTTGGCCATAGCAAAGACAGTACAGATCATGCTCTCGCCAAAACCTGTTGACAAAATTGCCACAACATCTCTCCTTTGAAGAAGACTGTAAATGGCAATTTCCTGTTTAGGCTTCAATACAATTGCCCTGTTTTCCCGTCGAATATTCAAGATCGACGACGCTCCTGTCAACGCTTCTTTAATATTTTGATTTTGTTTTGCGGAGATGATTTGTTCAGTCCCTCGAAACTCTCCCATGGGAGATTACCAAAAAATTTGATTGACGGGCGAACATTCTGAACCAATCGGAACGATCCGTACGCTGGCGTAGGGACCGACTCAAAAAAGCCCCCCGTCCGTGCTAGTCTCCTTCGCAGCCGTTATTAGGGTCGTCATGCAATGCTCCTCCCCACTACGTCCGTGCAGGCGGTTTTTCAAGTTGCTCCTACCCCAATCTCCTCGCGGTTTCTCTGCCTTCGCCCGCCTTTATTATTTAGCGCGCCCAACCATAACCGCCATGCTACGCAGGCTACGTAGTCACCTACGCGCTATCCTGCGAACATCAGACAGAGAAGCGACGACCGGAAATGCGTCTGCTCTTTGCAGGCTACCTACGCGCGAGATAGCAAAAAAGAAAAAAACCTGTGTTTGTTGAAGCAAACTCAGCCTGGGTGGCAGGCGCAAAAAGGGGAGGGAGAGGGGTAGGGAGAAAAGCACCCCCCTCCCTTTTTCCCTATCCCCTACTCCTTTCGACGCCTGCTACGCAGGCTAAGCAAACTCCAATTCTGGGCAAGGTCACGTTTTACATTATATTACGAGCTCTTGAGTCGTGTTTAGCCTGTCAACACTTTATTTCTGATTGGCTGGGAAAACTGAAACCAAACAAGTTTTCAACAGGATGTCAAAATGAGTTGAGGCAGGGGGAGGGGGCAGTTGGAAAGGCCACGAATCCGGGCAGGCAGTTTTTATTTTTCTCGCGGCTTCGCCGCTCAGGGGCTAATACCTAGCCTGTTCCAGGCGTTCAGATAGTAGAGCGCGAGCAAATTCTCCGCGTACTATTTTTTACGCTCCCCACTATTTGAACGCCTGGAACAGGCTAAACTTTACCCCCACCATACAAACACTGTAATTGTGCAGTATTTTGCTCCTCACACTAAGCCTGGGTTACCTGTGGTATGGACAAGAGCACGGAGAAATGGGTTGTGACACTGGCTTTTAACATCGACCCAGGGGAGGTTTTGTGTCCAGCGGTTTAGTGAAAACAAGGGTTTGTGTACAAGAAAGTTTTCGAGAGCGAACAAGTCAGGGGCACCCAACGATAGCCTCCCAACGAACCCCTAAGAACGTCTACGTGGGAGGCTAACCCAACGACGGTTTTCTTAGCCTGAGTATTCCTCCTAGATGCATTGAAAACACTTTTTAGGCTATCCAGAGTACTTTTAGATCTTTAGCTTTAGATATACATTCTAAGCGGCGCTATAAAATCTATATCCGTTCGGTCATCCAAGGGCAGCTTGAATCTTTTCGAAATTACCAGGTCTTCCCGAAAATTTCAGATGCAATTTTAAGTTTTACGAATTCGAAGTAAAATTTTTTCTGATTCTTCTTTCCATCGCATTTTCGATTCCGAAAATTTTAGGCTTACTTTTTTCTGCGAAAAATGGCTTAATCTGGGGAGTGAAATGCGAAATATTAAACTTCAGAAAATCATAGGGAATTAATTATGTAAGCTTCGAAAAGTGTACAGGAATGGAACGGTTAACTAGAAATTTTTAGCCTTCCTCAATGTACAGAAATTCTAGGCAATTTTTGCTTCTCCGAACAGATATTTTACAGAAAACTGTCCTTAGGTGCCCCTAAAGAAGGAACCCGATTTATTGAATCGTTTACTCTTCGAAGCATTGCGAACTCAAAATTTACCGGCTATTAGATATTACGAAGTAAGCCCTTTTTAAAAGAATCTCTAGGCACTGGCCTCAAACCGGTACGTTTTTATTTCGGAATCAAGCAACCGTGCCGTGTATGGATTCTTCACGAAAAAGAAATCTCCTTCAGTCTTGGTCTAGCCTGTGCAAGCTCTTCCTGTTGAACAGACCAACATCGTGAATATTAATTTTTCTTTAGAATTCACGTTTGCATGTAACAACGCGGTCACTGAACGTTGGATCTCGGGAGAGACTTTAAAATTGAAAAATACATCACTTTGTTTCCCCTTTGCAGTTGTCCTCGGACTTCTCGTTTCTCTGTTTCATTACTGAATCTCACACGGATATAGCCTGCGAAAACAGCCGTTTCTCCTGGCTCTTCACCGCTGGGGTCGCAGGCTAATTCAATGACCTTAATCTGATCATTTTACTTAAAACAAGGCGTGTAGTTACATCATTACGCCTGAGCAGACTTTCAAACTGGCTGAGTCCTTTTTATACTGGAACATTTTCAACGTTCTTTGCCATCATTACTTCCCGTTTAACTCCAGCATAGCTTATTATATTGTACGTTTAACCTGAATGGAGGAAGGATCAGAATTCAAGGCAATTTTTTGGAATACGGATGTTGTTTTCTTTTACATGGACATTGTCACCTACCTTTCGCTTGTTTCCCAATGCAGTTACACCGGTTCGATACTTAGGCGAACAACGAACTTCGCAGTTTACCAAAACACATTTAAAAACATGGCCTCCTTAAAAAATCTTTGTGGCAACCCAGTGAGCATTTGATACGCTTCATTACCAGGTCCAATGAAACTTATTTAAACTCAAGAACTTCCGGTGACGTACAAAGATATTTTAAGTACTCGAGATATCTGCTGTATAACTTGTTCCGAGTCTTTAAAGTGGGTTTTATGTGTAGGTCATTTAACTGGAACGATGGGGGTATGTGATATATTCGCCTGGTACCACCCTAAGGACGCACACGTACATGTGACGCTTATATAAAGCAGAAAACAGGTTTTTTCCCTTCTTTATTTCTTATACTTCAATTATGAAAAACGAGGGTTGCATAGTTTATCAGGATCAAGCCTCCTGTTAATCTCGTACCCAGATCTCACTCTGTTTTACTCCCTTGGCCGTGGGAGATCTGGGTACGAGATTAGCCTCCTGTGTTTTAATAAGTAGAGACTCTATCGCGCTCAAATGTAAATATTTTGAACTAAGACTATAGCAGTTTGAAGCTCGTCACTCGCATTTTTCTTACTTTCTAAATCACAGTTAATAAAGTCTCGAAGTTCTTAACTCATAATTTATCTTGAGACCAATTGTTTCTGAACACGACTAGTTTCTCCCGGATTATCGTGATATTAGGCCACACAAAATGAGACTCTCGCCACTTAATCCCTCAACAAAACGCCGCTTTTCATAAATCCCTAGATTTAAGACCTGATTTAAGACACGCAATGAGGACAAGTTAAGCGTAGAACGTTAAAATTTCTACTTTGGCTACCGATGTTTGTTTTCATGTACGAAAAAAAGAAACCATTCTCGTTCTGCATTCAGAAAAAGACGCACTACAGTATGGGGCCCAGTTCTCGGCCACAAAAAACGTAAATTGTATTTTTTACCTTGGAATAGCCGTGAGGACTATTCCAAGCCCCAAGGCTTCAAATTTTCCTTTAGCAACCATCACAGGGGCGGATCCAGGATTTTTTCTTAGGAGGGGGTGCACTCGTCGCTTGCTCTACTTCAAC